AAGTGCGTACGCGTGACCCACGCTTCCGTCACGCCTACCCACTGTGTCATTGCGAGCGCAGCGTGGCAATCCCGTCGTCATAGCAACGGCGGTTCGCCGACGTGTGCTCAAGCTCATCGGGATGCCGCGCTTCGCTCGCAATGACAACGTGGGTATGTATGACCCGCACGCCCCCATTGCCAGATGCCCCGCAACGTGGCAACCTAATGATTGCTACGTAACTGACCACTGACTCCCAAACCCGCTTCGATATGCCATGACCTACTCCCTGCTCTCCGGCCTCCGCGTGCTGGAAATCGGCTCGATGCTCTCGGCGCCTTACTGCTCCAAACTGCTGGCCGACGCCGGCGCTGATGTGATCAAGCTGGAGCCGCCGGCTGTGGGCGAGGCCGCCCGGCGCTACGGCCCTTGGCCTGACGACATTCCGCACCCCGAACGCAGCGGCCTGTTCCTGTACCTGAACGCCAACAAGCAGGGCATCACCGCCAACCTGGAAACTCCCACCGGACGCAGCATCCTGCGCCGCCTGGCCGCCGATTCCGACGTGGTGGTTCACAACGTGCCGCCGTCCGACATGGATCGCGTCGGCCTGGATTACGACGCCCTGGTTGTTGACAACCCCAATCTGGTTATGGCATCCATCAGCCCCTACGGGTTGTCCGGACCGTGGCGCGACTATCGGGCTTACGACATCAACCTGGCGGCGGCCGGCGGCATCAACGAGGGTCTGGGTGAACCCGATCGTGAGCCCCTGACCTTTGGCACGCCCGAAGTGGGTTACTTCGCCGGCATGGCGGCCGCGTCGTCCATCGTCATGGCGCTGCTGGGGCGGGAACAGGACGGCGGCCAGCACATCGACATCGCCGAAGCCGAGACTATGGCCGGTCTCTACAACCGCCCCGAGGCGCTGATGGCAGTGTATCAGTGGCGGGTAACCCGTCGCACGGGCCACCACGCCCTGGATTTTCCCTACCCGAACTGCATCCTGCGCTGCAAGGACGGCCACATCTTCGTCGGCTCGCCGGAGGGCCGTCAGTGGGGCCGGCTGCTGGAAATCATGGGCACGCCGGAATGGTCGCAGGAGCCGCGCTTCCGCAACCGCACCACCATGAACAACCTATATGCCGACGAAGTAGACGCATACCTGGAAGAATGGCTGGCCGACTATACCAAGGCCGAGTTGCTGGAAATCGCGCTGGAGCACCGCATCCCGCTGGCGCCCGTCCGCACCTACGAGGAAGTCCGCAACGACCCTTCCCTGGCCGACCTGTTTGTTGAAATTGACCGCGCCGACACCGGCCCGGTGGCCTATCCCGGCCCGCCCTACCGTCTGGCCGACGCCGCCGTCGCGCCGCCCACGCCGGCGCCCACGTTGGGCCAGCACAACCGCGAGGTACTGTGCGACCGCCTTGGCTTCTCCTCCGCAGAATTGGTCAAACTCCACCAGACTGGAATCATCTGATGGCTGCAGTCATCCCTCATGGTCGCGACTACGCAACCCGCTCTCGCCTGGAGATTCAGGGCCGAGGCGAGAGGGAAATATCTGGTCCACCAGCGACGCCCAAGATAATCTCCCCTCTCCCCGTGGGAGAGGGGTAGGGGGTGAGGGTTGCCAATTCGCATTGCCATCATCGCCGTGGCGGTGTTTCTGGCCAGCTGTCTCATTGCGCGGCAGGTCGCCATCCGCAAGAACCACCGGCCCGACGTCATCATCATCGCCGGCATGATCGTGGGGGCGGTGGCCTTCGCCGGGCTGTGGGCGGTGAGCCTCGTGTACGGCGGCGGTTACACCAAGATTGCGGCGGCGGGTGTTCTCGCCGTAATGCCCGCGCTGGCCGCGTTCATCGTCCCAGCCAGAAGTCGAGAGAGCGCGGAGCATCATGAGCACGATACACAGGTCTGAAAACGGCGGCATCTTGTCCGGTTACCGTGTGCTGGATTTCGGCTGGGTGCTGGCCGGCGCCATCCCCGGCATGGTATTGGCCGACATGGGCGCCGAGGTGATCAAGGTTGAAACCCGCCAGCGTCTGGACTATATGCGACTGGGCCGACCCATCGTCGGCGACCAGCCCGACCCCGAACAGAACCCGATGTTCCACAACGTCAACCGCGGCAAGCTGAGCGTTACCCTCAACATCGGCGAACCCGAGGCTGTCGAACTCGCCAAACGGCTGGTGGCCCGCTGCGATGTGGTCATCGAGAACTTCTCGCCCGGTGTGATGGATCGTCTCGGCCTCGACTATGAACGCTCCGAGCCATCAAGCCCGACATCGTCATGGCATCCATTTCCTCCACCGGGCAGGACGGCCCGCTGCGCGACCTGCGCGCCTACGCTCCGTCCATCGGGGCCCTGTCGGGCCTCGACAGCACGATGGGATACCAGGATGGTGGGCCGCTGGGACTCAAACACGCCTTCGGAGACATCTGCGGGGCGCTCCACGCGGTGTTCGCCGTCGCGTCCGCGCTGTACAACCGCAACCGCACCGGCGAGGGGCAGTACATCGACGTTTCGATGCTGCGGGCCACCGTGGTCACGCAGGGCCTCGGCCTGATGGAACACGCCCTGACCGGACGCTCCCTGCAACCTCGCGGCAACTACGACCCCACGATGGCTCCCTATGGCCACTACCCCTGCTCCGGCGATGACAAGTGGGTGTCAATTGCGGTGGCATCGCAATCCGAGTGGCAGGGTCTGGTTGAGGCCATGGGCAGCCCCGATTGGGCCGCCGATGACCGGTTCCGCAGCCAGTACCGTCGTCAGCGGCACCGGCGCGAGCTGGACGACCTGCTCGGCGCATGGACGACCCAGCACGATCCCGACGCTATCACCGAAGTACTGCAGGCGCACGGTGTCGCCGCCGCCCCCGTACTCAGCGCCGAGGAACGCCTCTTTCACCCCCACTTCATGGAACGCGGGTTGTACTCGGACATCGACCATCCCGCCCTGGGCGCCGAGCCAATCTTCAACCTGATGTGGGGCCTCAGCAAAACACCGTCAGCCGTGCAACGCCACGCCCCCCTCATGGGCGAACACAACCGTCACGTGCTGTGTGATACGCTGGGGTTGAGCGGGGACGAGTTGGCCGATCTGGAAGAGCGGCAGGTGGTGTATTAGCGGGGATGGTTTCCGGGGGAAAGCGAACTGCAGATTTCTTGTCGTTCCCAGGTGATGAGGTATCCGAAATGAAATTTACTTACTCCAGGGTTTCAAAAGAGAGCAACCTTTGGATTTTAGGCAATTTGGGCATAGCGCCCCTCATCATCGGGGCGATTATGACTCCATTGATCATCACAACTTTGATCCGCCGCGAAGACCTGCGGGATAATGGGGGCATCGGATTAGCATTGGCATTCGGCATAGCGTTCCTGTTAATAGGAATTGGAACTATTGTTTATGGCTGGTGGTGCGACCGGCGCGAATCTCTCAAATTTGATGAGGATGGACCATCACACAAGTAGCGTGGATTTTGTTATAAGCAGTTCCCGCTCATCACTGGCGGCGATTGTCCGCGATGCCACCTGACCGCCATCAACTTGCCATTGCGATCCTGGCAATTGCGACGGCGGCGATAGGGTTTGGTTTATTCGGATCGGATGTGAATTTGGGCATAGACCTTTTCGATGCAGGAATCACAAATACGCTGCGCCGTTTGCGGTTTGGATTGGTGGTCGCTGCTTTGGTGTGTTATGCCGGGGTAATAGTAACTGTCGGGAGAATATTATTCCGCGAAGACAACGCCACCGGGAGGGAATTGGTACTCGGGCCGATGAGATGGATGGTTTTCGAGATGCTGTCGTTGGCCCTGATTTTCGTAATTGGTAAATCACTGGATGATGCTGCTATCTGAAAACGAGGACATACGATGACCCAAGAGCAAACCCAACAGCAAGTAGTCGAAACACTTCCCGAGGTGGAGGGCGGCATCTCCGACGAGGCCCTGGCCGCCGCCCGCGCCATGATCGGCGTGCGTATGCGCACCGAGCAGTACGTCCGCCAGGCCAACCTGGACACTATGATCAATTTCGTGAACGGCATCGGCGACGCCAACCCGCTGTTTCGCGACCAGGAGTACGCCGTCTATTCCAAGTACGGCAGTGTCATCGGACACCCCTGCGCTCCCTATATGCGCCACTGGTCGGGACGCACCCGCTGGGGCCTGCCCGGCGTCCACGGCTTCTTCGCCGGCAACGATTGGGAGTTCTTCCGCGTGCTGCGTCCCGGCGATGCCGTCAACTGCGTCGAACGGGTGCTCGACGTTCAGGAGAAGCAGAGCGCCTACTCCGGTCGGCTCGTCATACAGTACGTGGAAACCACCTATTCCAACCAGCGCGATGAGGTAACCGCCCGCGTCGTCGGCTGGTGCACCCGGCATCAGCGGCGAGCGTCGCGGGAGCGGGGCAAGTACGCCGACATCCCCAAGCGGCACGAGTACACCGACGCCGAGCTGGCCGCCATCGACGAGCAGGTGCTGGGCGAAACCGCCCGCGGCGGTCAGACCCGCTACTTTGAAGACACCGAGATTGGCGAAGAGCTGCCAACCGTCGTGCGCGGGCCGCTCTCCTTGCAGGACGTCAGCGCGTTCCTGGTCGGTACCGGCCGTTCCAGCGCCCACGGTGTGCTGCTGCGCGAGGCCATACGCCATCCCGATCACTTCTTTCGCAATCCGGAGTCCGGCGGTGGCCTGGAATACACCGGCATCGGCCATTTGCGCGATTCCGTAGCCGAGGCCGTCGGAGTGCCTGGCGCGTACGACTACGGCCCGCAGCGGGTGTCGTGGCTAGGTACCCTGATGACCAACTGGATGGGCGATGACGCCTTCCTCAAGCGTCTGCGGGTCGAAACGCGCCGGTTCAACGTGTACGGCGACACCCAATTCTGCAAGGGGCGCGTGGCCCGCAAGTACGTACACAACGGCAATACCCTGGTCGACGTCGACATCTGGACCGAAAACCAGCGCTGCGAGATAACCGCGCCCGGCACGGCCACCGTGCAGCTGCCCTCCCGCGACCCCCGCAACCCCTGGTTCACCGACGGCAGCCACATCTCCCTGCGCCACATCCCCCTCCCCGAAGACGCCCCGCCCATCCTACCCGTGTAGCGGCCAGGCAAGACACGATTATGGGCATCACCTACGCCGGGGGCAGCATTACCGGCAAAACTGAAACCCGCGAGTACAATTTCCTGGTGGATACCGGCTCTACTTGGATGACCTTACGTCAATCTGACATCGATCTGTTGCAGCTTGCTGAACTGGAAAGGGTTACAATCGATACCCCTACCGGTACTATCCACCGCAGGTTCTTTAAAGCGGCCGGTATGCTGGAGGGCGTAGCGTTTGAAACCCGCATCGTGCCGGCCCCATACCGATGGTCGAGTACGAGTTACTGCAAAGGCTGGGGTTCGTGGTTGATCTGGTAATTGAGCGTATCGAATTGAAGACCAACTGGGGGAATGTCTCTTCTTGATGGGGGTGCCTCACGATGGTTGATAAATACGTTAACGGCAGCATCGCTGTCGACAAGGGGACGCGCGATTACAACTTTTCGATAGTGAAGGGAGGGCATAACGTCGGACTGCCTCAATCTGAAATCGATGGGCTGGGCTTAAAGCAATCCGTGTTTTTCCCCAAATCGATGACGAGAGATACCGAGGGACTGGCCGGCGATAAGTCTTACATGGCGACCGCGCATTTTGCCGGGAGTTCCGTTGAGCTGGACGTGTTGCCAGCACTGGCGCCTACGGTGGATGTGGCTGTGTTGCGCGACTTGGGATTCAAGGTTGACTTGGGCAAGGGAAGCGTTGAGGAGCCGACCACGAATCTCGACATTTTACGTGGATTCTCGCCATGGTCGAGCCCAACCGGTTATAACCGGGTATATGTAGGGTCAGCCGATGGATGGGTGTACGCGCTCAGTTGCGAAAACCTTGAAGTGGAGTTGCGCACTCGGCTGTTAGCAGGCAGAACAATTTCTCATCTCAAGGTTGCTAACGACAAAGTATATTTAGCGTTAGCAGACGGATGGATGTATGCGCTGGATGCCGGAAATTTGGATATGGAATGGCGCAGCAGGCTGCTCGAGGGCAAATCGATTTCCCATCTCGTGGTTGCCGACCGCAGGGTCTATCTGGCGTTGTCAAATGGATGGGTGTACGCGCTTCATGCTGGCAACTTGGAAGAGGAATGGCACACCCATCTGCTGATGGGCCGTAAAATAGCTCACTTTTCGGTTGCCAACGGTAGAGTTTACGTACTGTTGGAAGATGGGGAGATTTACGCTCTGGATGCAGGGAATTTGGAGTTGCTATGGCAAACCACGCTGCCGGAAGGGAAGCGAACTGCTCATCTTCATGCAGGCAGCAATTGAGTGGGATTGGGGCCAGATAACGGGGAGCGTGTACGCTATGTCCATCCTCTTAATGTACCCATCACGCCCATGTCCAACCTCCGCGTAGCGAAGTGGCTTTCGCTGATCGCCGGACCCTACTGCGGCAAGCTCCTGGCATCGTTGGGAGCGAACGTCATCAAGGTGGAACCGCCCGCCGGCGACCCTTCTCGGCGACGCGGCCCCTTTTCCGATGACGTGCCCCATCCGGAGCGCAGCGGACTGTACCTGTACCTGAATACTGGCAAGCAGTCGGTTACACTGAACTTGGCTGACCCATCGGCGCGGGAGCTCCTGCACCAGCTGGTTGCCAGCGTGGCTATGGTCATCCACGACTACAGCCCTGCTGATGCGGCATCGGTCGGTCTGGACGGCGATTCGCTGCTGGCGGTCAATCCGGACGTTATCGTCACCGCCGTAACGCCCTTTGGATCGACGGGGCCCTACGCCGACTACCATGCCGGACATCTTGGCACCTTCCATGCTGGCGGCGAGGGTTGGCTGCTGCCCAACGGCGTGGCCCTGGATACGTTTCCGGACCGTCCGCCCATCATCGCCGGCGCCAACATGGGTGACTATCAGGCTGGCCTGACCGCTGCCGTGGGTGCGGTCGCTGCGGCGTATCATCGTCTGGGAGCGGACGCCAATGCGCGAGGTCAGGTGGTGGACGCGTCTGGGCAGGAGGCCCAGCTGTCCGTCGGATATATGCCCATCCAGCGGCACGAGTCGGAGGGAATCACCGAAACCCGCTTCTCCCGCTACTTCCGAGTCGGTGGCGTGCTGCCGGCGTCCGACGGATACGTGGAACTGCTGACACTGGAACTCCGCCAGTTTGGGAGTCTGCTGGACTTCATGGGGCATCCCGACTGGGCATCGCCGGATATGTTCAGCGACCCAGCCACCCACGGTCCGGAGCTCAACCGCCGCATGAAAGAGTGGTTCGCCCAGCACCCTCGGGAATGGCTCTACGCCGAGGGTCAGGCCCACGGCGTGCCAATCGCGCCCTACTACACCCCCGCCGAGGTGTTCCACAGCCCGCAGCAGCGAGAGCGCGGCTACTTCCAAACTGTGGATCATCCGGATACCGGCCCCCTGGAATACGCCAGCGCACCCTTCCAGCTGGACGGCACTCCCACCAGGCTGCAACGCGCGCCCCTGCTGGGCGAGCACAACGCCGACGTGTACCGGGATTTGCTGGGGTACAGCAGCCCGGAGTTGACGGCCCTGGCACGAGGCGGCGTAATCTGATACAGCAATCTCCATCTCCCTACGGGAGAGGGTTGGGGTGAGGGCCGTCCCAATCTCCTACTGAAATTTCGGCATAACTTCTGCGGCGAACAGTTTCATGGCGCGCATCACCTTTTCGTGCGGGAGGCCGCCGAAGGCCATGTCCAGGCCGAAGTATTCCATCTGATACTGTTGTTGCAGGCCGCGCAGCCATCCGCACATCTCGTCGGGGGTGCCGAAGTAGGCGGTGCTTTGCAGGTCTTCTTCGTAGGTTGCCGGTTGCGTCGTGCGGGTCTGACGCCAATGATCCAGGTCCATGTAAATCTCGCTGCCGCCGGTGAGAGTACGGCGCAGGCCATTGAGGTCGCGCACCCAGGACAGGGCTTGCCGCGGGTCTTCGCGCGCCGTTTTCGCGTCCTCGGCAACGTAGGCCAGGCGGAAGAAGGGCATATCGTGAACCGGCGGCTCCTTGCCGGCCTGTTTGCAGGCGTCCAGGTACAGCGTGCGAATGCCCAGCACATCTTCGTCAGGAGTGTTGGCGCCGGTTAGCACCGGCAGGTCTCGCGACACCGCCACATCCACGCTGGCCGCCGTCCGGGACACCGCCAGGTACAGGGGCGGATGCGGTCGCTGAACTGGAGAGGGGGTGATGGTCATGTCCTCCACCTGGTAGTAGCGGCCACGATAGGTGAAACCCGGCGTCGACCACAATCCCAGAATGATGTCCACAATCTCGGCAAACCGCTGGGTACGCGACTCGTAGTCAACGCCGAAGTTGTTGTACTCGTACACCACCTGCCCACGACCGACGCCAAAGTCCAGCCGGCCGCCCGACAGCACATCGAGCATCGCGGTCTGCTCGGCCACGAAGATTGGGTTGTGGAAGGTGAGCACGCTCACGCCGGTGCCGATGCGAATGGTTTTGGTCTTGCCGGCGACGTAGTGGGCGAACGACAGGGCCTGGGGCACAATGCCGAAACGCGTAAAGTGATGCTCGGCCAGCCACACGGAGTCGAAACCCAGCTCCTCGGCGTACTGGATTTGCTCGATGGTCTCGCCGAAAATGCGGCTCTGCTCGGACGCGTCCGGGTCAGGCCAGGAAGGCAATATGAACAGCCCAAACTTCATAACTACCGGGCTCCTGAAAAAACGGATGAGAGTTCGGGCATTATAGCGTATGCGGCGGGGGTGGCCGGGGGACGGCCCTCGCCCCCAGGGTCTTTCGGTTGTCCCTTATTGTCATCGCGAGCGCAGCGTGGCAATCTCGTTGCCGTAGCAATTGCGGTGCGCCGACGGGTGTGTGACCCCATCGAGATTGCCACGTCGCTACGCTCCGCGCAATGACAAATAAGATGCGCGTGGCTTGACCTGAGGCGTTGACAACTCGGATGCGAGCGTGGGGAGGCAATCTCGTTGCCGTAGCAATTGCGGTGCGCCGACGGGTGTTTGACCCCATCGAGATTGCCACGTCGCTACGCTCCTCGCAATGACAAATAGGGTACGCGTGGCTTGACCTGACCTCATGAGTACCCACTTAATCTGTCATTGCGAGCGTAGCGTGGCAATCTCGTTGCCGTAGCAATGGCGGTGCGCCGACGGGTGTGTGACCCCATCGGGATTGCCACGTCCCTCGATGAGCTCGGGATGAGCGGGCGCTTCTCGCAATGACAATAAGGGTACGCGTGGCTTGCCCTGATGCGTTGACAACTCGGAACGGTTTGATATAGTTAACCAAATGGTTAACTATAGTTCGCCCGCTACTCTGGATGCGACCTTTGCCGCTCTGTCCGACCCGACCCGGCGGGCGATGGTGGAGCGTTTGGCGCGCGGTGAAGCGACGGTGGGCACACTGGCGGAACCGTTCGATGTGTCCCTGCCGGCCATATCGAAACACCTGCGCGTGCTGGAGCGGGCCGGCTTGGTAGCTCAGCAGAAAGACGGGCGATCGCGCCGGTGCCGGCTGGAAGTTGGCCCAATGAAGCAGGCATCGGACTGGATTGCCCAGCATGCCCGGTTCTGGGACCAACAACTTGATGCGCTGGCCGAATATCTCGAAGACGCGACGCGGGACTAGCGCCGGCAGCACGACGCCGGCCAACCCAGCGCATCCGGCAACCCGAACACAACACATTGACGGGAAAGGCAACCACCATGACTCAACCCACATCGGGCACCGCATTCGGGCTCACCATCACCAGAATAATCAACGCTCCCAGAGAGCGGGTGTTTGCCGCCTGGACCGATCCAGACCATCTGCATCGCTGGTGGGGCGCCCAGGATGGATACACCGCCCCCATTGTCGAGGTTGACCTGCGTCCCGGGGGCAGGTACCGCTTCGGTATGCAGGACCCGGAGCAGGCCCACCCCTACATTGTGGGTGGTGAATATCGGGAAGTGAACCCTCCCGAAAAGCTCGTGTTTACCTCGATCTGGGAGAAGATGCCGCTGGACATCTCGGACTGGGTGCCGCCGGTGACGCTGGTTACGGTCGAGTTTTTCGACCGCGACGGCGCAACCGAAATCGTGCTCACCCACGAGCTGTTCACCGACGAGCATATGCGGGACGAGCACAACAACGGGTGGGGCGGCTGCATCGACCGGCTGGAGCAATACCTGGCTGCCCTTTAGATTCGGCCCTTCAATCACCGGACCAATCTGAAGTACACACCAAAGGAGACACCAACATGGCAAAGGCGATTTATTGCAGCGACATGGGTTCCGATTGCGAATTCGTCGCCCGGGGCGAAACTCTGGAAGAACTGATGGAAGTGGCCTCAGCGCACGGCAGGGAAGGTCACCAGATTGACGAGATTACGCCGGAAATGATGGAAATGGCGCAGCAGGTGATTCGCGAAGAGTAACCCACGGCGTTGACCGGGTGGTCTGCGGACGCCTACAATCCTGCCAACCGATTGCAGGAGCGACCGCATGACCACCTCCGCCGACACTTACGCTCACCCCGAATATCTGACTGACCCGGAATGGGTCGCCGCGCACCTCGATTACCCCAACGTGGTCATCCTGGACTGCAATAACAATGACGCCTGGCAGCGGGGACACATCCCCGGCGCCGTGGTCGTTCCCGATAACTGGGCCAAAAACCCGGATACCAACCGCCAGCACGTGATGACCCCCGACCAGTTCAAGGCGATGGCCGAGGGCATGGGCGTCGGCGATGACACCACGGTGGTTACCTATGACCATGCGCAAGGGCTGACCTCGGCGCGAATGTGGTGGGTTTTCAACTACTACGGGCATCGCAACGTTATGGTGCTCAACGGCGGCTGGCGTCGGTGGGTGGCCGCCGGTCAGACGGTCAGTTTCGACCGGTCCCGTCCGGCGGGGTCGGTCACCTTCACCCCACGGGCCGACCAGTCGTTGATCGCTACCGGTGACGAGCTGAAGGCCGCCTGCACGCTGGACAACGTGGTCGTGTGGGATGTTCGCAGCGACCCGGAGTGGGATGGCACCGCCGAGAACTACCCCAACCAGCGCGTGGGCCACGTTCCCGGCGCAGTGCATCTGGAATGGTTCCATCTGGTCGACCGGCACACTCATATGTTCAAGCCGGCCGCCGAGATTCGCGGCATTCTCGCCGACCACGGCATCACGCCCGACAAGACCGCCTACTCGTATTGACAGGCCGGCATCCGTGCGGCGCACGGCAACTTTGTACTCCGGCTGGTCGGTTTCGAGGACGCCAGGAATTACGACGCATCAATGAGCGAGTGGGCCAACCGGGAAGACACGCCGCTGACGGTGTAGTTGGCTTACTGACCCAACAGAATTCGGGGTCCAATCGCTCCCTCTCCCAAACCCGCTCCCACTGTCAATGGGGGAGGGGACTGGTCTCATGCGTACCCACTTTGTCATTGCGAGCGAAGCGCGGCAATCTCGTCGCCGTAGCAACGGCGGTTCGCCGACGTGTGTTCAACCTCATCGAGATTGCCACGTCGCCATGCTCCTCGCAATGACAGATTAAAAAGTGGGTGCGCGTGTTGAATGCGGAATTGCTCCCTCTCCCAAACCCGCTCCCACTGTCAATGGGGGAGGGCACTGGTCTCATGCGTAACTACTTTGTCATTGCGAGCGAAGCGCGGCAATCTCGTCGCCGTAGCAACGGCGGTTCGCCGACGTGTGTTCAACCTCATCGAGATTGCCACGTCGCCATGCTCCTCGCAATGACAGATTAAAAAGTGGGTGCGCGTGGGATTCTCGCTCGTCCTGAGCCTGTCGAAGGACGCTCCCCTCCTGCAAGTCGGGACGGGCGAACTCGTTCCGGTGGTGGGCGTAGGTGAAGCGCGCAACCGCAAAACCCTCCCGACGGGTGCGGGTGCATCGGGTGGTGGATGGTGATTCGCTGGAGGTCAAGTACTCCGGCTTTTTCAGCTTTTTGCGCCGTCCGGTTGCCGTGCGGCTGTACGCAATTGACGCCCCGGAACTGGCGCAACCCTACGGCGCAGAGGCGCGCAATGAGCTGGCGTCTCTGGTTGGTCGCGGCGGCATACGCATGGAGGAAGTTGCAACCGACCGGTATGGCGCCGCGTGGGGTTGCTCTATCGGTCTCGGCGGGGGCGTCAGCAGTCCATCAACCTGATGATGGTGCGCTCCGGGATGGCGTACTGGTACCAGCGGTACGGGGGTCAGGATTTGGGGTTCCCCGGCGCCGAGGAGGATGCCAGAAGGCAACGCCTCGGGGTTTGGCGCGACCAGCGTCGGGGCCAGCGGCCTTGGGATTTCCGCGCCGACCGGCGCCGGGCTGGCGGTCGCGCCCGTCGGATGCGCCGGATCCGCCGGGTCTCGATGTGGCTGTTGGTCATCACCGTAGGAGTGGTGGCAACAATGCTGTGGTGGTTCGGCCTTTTTGGCTGACGAATCCTGATCGGTAGTGCCGTACCACGCCTGATGGAGCGGCTACGGCACCAGCGGCTGGCCCACCAAATTCCAGTACGGCACCACCAGCGCGAACAGCACGGCGATAGCCACCACGGTCATGGTCAGGCCGAACCGGAAAATCTCGGGGTTGGGTATTTTGGCCCGATTGAAGATAAACACTCCCGAGGTTCCGCCAGCCGCGTAGTACACCACCGAATCACCCACCACGACGGATGCCATGCCGCACACCAGCGGGTTTAGTCCCAGCGATTCGCCGGTGGCCATTGCTACGGGTATCGCCAACGCCAGGTATCCGGCGATGTTGGGCAGCAGCACCCGCACCAGCGCGAAGCAAACGCACAGCGCAGCAAAACGAGCAGCGGCTGCGATTGAAACTGCGTGGCCCCGCTCACCAGGGTCTGGGAGAACCAGGCAGCGGCTCCGCTGGTCACCAGCGCGTTGGCCAGCGACAGCGACGTGGCGATAACGAAGAAATTCGTCCAGCCCAGGTTCTGTTCAAAATATTGCCAGCTCAGGATGCCGACGAAGGCGTGGCGTCAGGATGACGGTCAGCGCGATCAGCGCCGGCACCGGCGGATGCAGGCCATGGGCAAAGTCGGTGAACCACATCAGAGCAGTAACCATCACGATCACGGCGGCTTTGATCTCCACGACCTTGACCGGCCCGGTTGACAGGTCCGCCGCTCCGGCGATGCCGTCCAGCCTGAATCCCGACCGGTAGAATACGTACAGAATGGTTCCGCCGACAATCAGGTTGGCGTAGAAGGGCACACTCATCAGCAGGAACCACTGGGTCCACGAGAAATCTCCCAGCAACCCCGATGCGACCACCGGGGTGATGCCACCGGCCAGCAGGGCGGTCGAGCCCAATCGGTTCAGGCTGCCCATTGCCATCATCAGGGCTTTGTGAAAAGGGTGTTCCTGCGATATGTTCCAGTGGGCCAGCACCCGCTCGTAAACGTGCACCATGATCGCCCCCCTGGTGCTGGCAGAGGGCAGCGCAAAGGTGAGGATGGCGAAGGAGAACAGCATCTGCACGTAGAGAAAGCGGGGGCTGCCCACCGCGCCGCGGATCAGAAACGTTGCCATCCGCTCGGCCAGTCCCGAATACTGCACCGCCAGGCCCAGGGTCAGGATGCCAATGAGAAAGTAAGCCACCGGCTGTGAGAATCCGTACAGCGCCGCCCCTACATCGGCAACAGCTCCAACCAGCACCAGCAGGACAACACCGGCGATGCCGGCCACTGAGATGGGTATTGCCTCCGTGGCCCACAGCACCACCGCCAGCGTCATCACCGCCAGCGCCCGCTGACCCTCGGTGGTCAATCCTTCCGGCGTGGGCATCAGCAGGATTCCGAGGAATACGACTGCTGCCGCCCCAAGTTTCAGCGCCGCCTTGCTGTCGGGAATCAGGCGGGAGATGGTGGACAGTTGGGGCGCGTCGTTCTCTGCCATGCGTGCAGTCGGAATGCCTGCGGTCGGAATGGGTGTAGTCGGAAACTAGCGCCGAGTTGACGGCGGTTGGGTGAACGCGAAGCCCCGGCAATCATACCGGGGCTTGAGCAGGGTTGCGTCAGAGTACTATCGCCGTTCGACGGGCGCAACCGACTGGGTGCAGAAATAGGGTACTTCCTGGTAATACCGGGCCGCCGGTTTGTGCGAGCCGGCGGCTAGCTGGTGGTTTGGCGCAGCGGGCTGCTGGTGACACGGTTGGCGGAGGTTACGCCCCGGATGCCTTCGACGCGGGAGAATACGCGGTTGAGTTCGGCCAGGCTGCCGATGTGGATGGTCAACTCCATGCTGACAGTGGCATCGTCGTTCTCGCGCGTTACCACCCAGGCGATGTTGATTTTATCTTCCGATAGCTTGGTGGTAACGTCCCGCAGCAGACCCACCCGGTCGATGGCTTCGATACGCAGACGCACCGGGTAAAGCTCCCGCTTTTCGCCCCAGGACACCGGCACCAACCTCTCCTTTTCGTCCTCGTTGAACACGTTCATGCACCCGGTTTTGTGGACGCTGACGCCCCGCGAACGGGTTACGAACCCAATGATGGCGTCGCCCTGAATGGGCGAGCAACAATCGGCGATGCGAGTCAGCAGGTCTCCCACGCCCAGCACCATTATGCCCGACGATGGACTGTCCAGGGGTACCGGCCCCTTGGTCTTGGGCATCCAGCCGGCCTGGTCTACCTCATCGGCCCGCAGCTGGGTCAGGCGGTTGGACAGCGCTGCGTCGCTGAGTTCGCCGGAACCGAGAGCCGCCAGCAGGTCTTCCATGGTGTCGAAGCGGCACAGGTCCACGACTTCGCGGTCACTGATTTTCAACCCCATGCGGTGCATCTCACGGCGCAGCAACTCCCGGCCGCGATTGATGTTTGCGCTGCGAGCCTGCCGGTTGAACCATGACCGAATCCGCTGCCGCGCGCTGTTGGTGGCCACGTACCCGCGCGATGCGTTCAACCAGTCGGGCGATGGGCCGCGACCGGTTTTGCCGGCCACCACTTCCACTGTGTCGCCATTTTGCAGCGGCGTGTCCAGCGATACCAGCCGGCCGTTCACCTTGGCGCCGGAAATGCGGTGCCCCAGGTCGGTGTGAATCTTGTACGCAAAGTCGATGGGCGTCGCGCCGGCGGCCAACTCCATGATGTCGCCCTTGGGCGTGTAGACGAACACCTGGTCGTGGAACAGGTCTTCCCGCACCGATTCCAGGAACTCGGTGGTGTCGGGAGTCTCCCGCTGCCATTCCAGCAGTTGCCGCAGCCAGGTCATGCGCTCTTCAAAGCGACCCTTGCTACCGTTGGGGCCGGCCCCCTCCTTGTACCGCCAGTGCGCCGCCACCCCGTATTCCGCGATACGGTGCATCTCGTGGGTTTTAATTTGCACTTCCAGCGGGTGGCCGCCGTCGCAGATAACCGTGGTATGCAGCGACTGGTACAGGTTCTGCTTGGGTGTGGCGATGTAGTCGTCGAACTGCCCCGGCATCGGGCTCCACATACGATGCGCAATACCGAGGGCCTTGTAGCAATCGGCCACGTCGTCAACAATGACTCTCAGGGCGTACAGGTCATAAATATCGCTGAGTTCTTTCCCCTCAGCGGCGTATTTCTCGATCTTGTTGTGGATGGAATAGATGCCCTTGGGTCGCCCGTTGACCTCGGCCTGCAGGTCGTTGACCGCGAGTTCTTCCCGCAGATGCGCAGCCACCTCGTCGACGTATGCCTCACGCTGGGAGCGGCGAGCCGCCAGCATCCGCGATATCTCCCGATAGGCGGACTCGTTGAGGTGTCGGAAGGCCAGGTCGTCCAGCTGCCACTTCAGTTCCCAAATGCCCAGGCGATGGGCCAGCGGCGAGTAAACGTCCAGTGTTTCCTGGGCGATGCGGACCCGTTTGTCTTCGGGCAGGGCGTCCAGCGTTTGCATGTTGTGCAGCCGGTCGGCCAGCTTGATGAGCACCACGCGGATGTCCTCGGCCATGGCCACGAGCATCTTGCGCAGGCTTTCGGCGTACAGGTTTTCCGCGTCGGTGGCGGTATTGCCGTTAACGCCGGGCGGTCGGTAATCGACCCGCGTCAGTTTGGTTACGCCGTCAACCAGGCGCGCCACGTCTGGGCCAAACCGTTGGTCAAGGGCCTCCACGGTAACGCCGCAGTCTTCCACCACGTCGTGCAGCAGGGCGGCGATGATGGTGTCGGGATCAAGATGCAGGTCGGCCAGGATTGTCGCGGCGGCGAGCGGGTGGACGATGTAGGGGTCGCCGGAGATCCGCATTTGCCCGTCGTGGCATTCGCCGGCAAAGCCGTAGGCATCCTGAATCCGATCCAACTGGAACGGTTCGTCCACATATTCGGACACGCGGGCGATGAGATTCGTGGAGTCGCTCACGACTACGACCATCGACGCCCTCCTCGAGCAACTGACCCCTTACCCCTGGACGCGTTGCTACGCTGATAACCTGCTAACGACCTATGGCAAGATGATACTCACTCGCCGCAGCGATGTCTAGCCTGTGCGCCGCAGAGTCGGCCGTCTTCTATTGTCCCCCAATGTCATTGCGAGCGCAGCGTGGCAATCCCGTCGCCGCAGCAACGGCGGTGCGCCGACGTGTGTTCAATCTCATCGAGATTGCCACGTCCCTCGACGAGCTCGGGATGAGCGGGAGCCTGCTCGCAATGACCGATTAACGCAGGTACGCGTGAGGTGGCATGATGGGTTGACAAGTATTGCCATGCGGTATAGTATGTATCTAACACGCTGGGGTGGCCGGGACACCCCACCCGTTAGAACCAGAAGGGCGAAAAGCCCGTCTGCACTGGAGGTGCGAAGTGGTTTCGTTAGTTACGATAAACCATAGATGGCATTTTCCGCTAATTGGCCCGGTCGGGGACGCTGCTGCGGCCTGATTGGTCTCCGGGAATCGGAGCCGCCCAGAGGTTTGGCAGAATAATCGACCGGGCAAATCACAGGCATCGTGATCCTTGGCCCAGCGACGGGCCGGCCGATGCCGAACACAAGCCAGGTATCCGACTGTTTATCGGAGCTTGGCTTTTTTCGTTTCGGTTAGGATCGTCCCGCAGACGGCTTTTCACATAGATCCGCACGATACACAGAATGTGTTGGCGAGGCTCCGACTGTAGTAGCCGCATTTCCCCGCAATGACAGATCGAAGCGGGTAAGCGTGGGATTGGTCAGGTGCTTGCCGTCGAGCCGTAGACCGTCGATCCGTAGAAGTGTAGGAAACTGTTAACCGGGTTGCCGGCCATCTGACCGAGGCCGCACAGGGATGCTGCGCCGACTATTTCGGCCAGGTCTTGTAAATCCGACCGGTCGCTGCCGGTTTCGCCGCCGTTGGCGATGCGTTGCAACGCTGCTGCGATGCGGGGAGTCCCTTCGCGGCAGGGGGTGCATTTGCCGCAGGACTCGGCGGCGTTGTAAGCGGCCAGGCGCGCGGCCACCTGCGCTGGCGATGCCTGGTCGTCGAACACTGTGATGCCGCCGGCGCCCATGACCACACCGCTCGGGTGAAGATTTCCGGGGCGCAACGGCACATCCAGCTCGGCGGCGGGCAGGATGCCGCTGGACGGCCCCCCGACGGCCGCAAATCCCAGTGTTCGACCCGCCGCCACGCCGCCGCCAACCTGGTCGATGACCTCTCGCACGGTGGTTCCCATGGGCACTTCCGCCATTCCAGGCCGCTTCACCGCGCCGCTGAGCGACACCAGCCGAGTGCCACGAGCTTCGTCCAGGCCGACCGAGGCGAACCGACGCACTCCACCGGTGAGGATGGCGGGCACGTTGCACAGGGTTTCGGCGTTGTTGATCACGGTCGGTTCGCCGTAGAGGCCGGCGTCGGTGGGGAAGGGCGGCCTCAACCGCGGCTCCCGGCGGCGGCCTTCGATGGTGTTCAGCAGCGTGGTTTCCTCCCCGCACACGTAGCCGCCCGCACCGCGCCGGACGCTTACCGTGCATCCAAAACCGCTGCCCAGGATGTTGTCGCCGATGAGTCCGCCGGTTGTGGCATCAGCAACGGCCCGGGACATTCGCTCCGCCGACAGGTTTGCTTCCGCGTTAACGTAGATGACCACGTTGGCAGCGTCGGCGGCGTAGGCCGCGATCAGGGCGCCTTCGACAATGCGGTGGGGATTGCCCTCCATGAGGTGGCGGTCCTTGAACACGCCCGGTTCGCCTTCCTCGGCGTTGACCACCAGATGACGCCGTTGGGCGGCGACTCCCCGGGCCGCTTGCCACTTGCGGGCCGCCGGGAAGAACGCTCCGCCGCGGCCCAGCAAACCGGCATCCAGCACCAGCCGAATCACTGCGTCGGGCGGCATGGCAAGGGCCGCCGCCAGGCCGCCGTAGCCGCCTCCGGCCAGCCATTCGTCCAGCGAGGCCGGGTCGACGGAGCCGATACCCTCCGTCAGGGCGATGTGCTGGGGCGTGAAATAGGCTTCCAGATCGGGCGACGGATACCGCGCCCCCGCGTCGGCAACGCTGGCCAGGATAACGGCGAGGTCGTCATCGGCGCTCACCCGGTCAAAGTATCCGGTTGACCCGTCGGGTCGTTGTACCACGACCTGGGTTGCGGCAAAGCACGCGCCATCGCAGCCGGCCGCAATGACACCCACATCGCGTCGACCGGCCAGAGCCTCGGTCAGGCGGTGGTAGATTGCATCGGCTCCGACGGCCTGGCTGCAATGGCCCCATTGCACGGCGACGCGAGTGGTTCGTCCCAACGCGGCGATGCTTCGGCGGGCCCGGTCCTGCCGGGCGACGAGCTGAACCGTTGGCGGGGTGGCTTGACGGGGGTGGTCATGCCGGGGCATCCTGGATCGCCGCAAGCAGTTTGGCGCGGGTCACGCGGCCCAGCCAACGCCCGTCGACGCCGGCGGCCGGCGCTACGCCGCAGATGAAGGCGCAGGCGGTGGTATCGATGCTGGTATTGATGCTGGTATCACCGCTGGAATCACCGGTGGCTGCCAGTTCCCGCCGCGCCGCCGCAAGCAATTCCTCTCCTCCGGCCAGCCAGCACGCCAGGCCCGTGCAGACGGTAACGGTTCGGCGTGCCGGAATCCCGATGCGCAGTTCGGAGTAGGATGTGGCGGCGCCGTAGATTTCCGACGCCGGCACGCGGAGATGCCAACCCACCACTTGCAACGCCCACTCGGGCAGGTGGCCGTGCTCGTGCTGCAGCAGGTGCAACGCCGGCAGCAGCGAATCGCGATTTCGTCGGGGAATGTCTCCCGGAGGATTCTACGCAGGTCAGACTGGCGCCCGCGTCGGTCGGCATCCGCCGAGCCGTCGGTGGCCGGGTCGGGCGCGTCGCCCGGTCTGCCGGCACGACGGCGCCGTCGGGTGGTTTCGCCGTCAGCAACCATGGCGCGATTATAGCAGGGGGAAGGATGGTGGATGCGCGCGGTCAACCAGTTTGACCCACTCATGCGTACCCAAGTTGTCATTGCGAGAAGCACAGCATTAATCTGTCATTGCGAGGAGCATAGCGACGTGGCAATCGCGTCCGCACCCACTTTGTCATTGCGAGCGTAGCGCGGCCATCTCGTCGCCGTAGCAACGGCGGTTCGCCGGAGAGTGTTCAACCTCATCCAGATTTCCGTTCGTCCTGAGCCTGTCGAAGGACGCTCGCAATGACAAAGTGGGTACGCGAGAAGTTTGACCCATCACTGTGGCGTTGTTACCATCGGCCAACTCGAGAGTCTATTTCCGAGGGTCTATCTAAGGAGGTCAGTCAGTATGCCGGTTATCAATGTAGCGATCAGGCGGCGGGAGGCTTTGGCCGACGGCCAGCGGTTTGGCGATGCTGGCGATTACGAACGCATCGACGGCGTGCTGACCTTTGCTGTCGACCCGCATAATCCGGCCAACCGGGAGATTGTCGACCTGCAACACGCGCCCGTCGATGATGCTGGCCGCGTGCGCTTTGACGCTGACTTCACGCTGGTGGCTCCACGTGATAATGGTCGCGGCAACGGTCGGCTGATTGTCGAGGTCGTGAACCGGGGCCGCCGCCGCACCGTGGCCTTTTTCAACCGGGGGGCGACACCGGCCATCGATTCCGACGCCATTCCCGTGGGTGATGGCTTTTTGTTGCGACACGGCTACTCGGTGCTGTCGGTGGGTTGGCAGTGGGACGTTTATCGCAGTGATGGCCTGTTGGGCCTTGACGCTCCTGCAATCCAGATTGACGGCAAACCCGTTACCGGCCAGACCAGCGTCGAGATGCGCCCCCACATCCGAGAACGCGCCCGTCTGCTGGCCAACCGCGCCCATCGCCCCTATCCGGTGGCCGACCTTGCCGACCCCAACGCCATGCTGCTGGTGCGTGACTGGGAAGACGGCCCCGACACGCTCATCCCACGCTCCGAATGGCAATTTGGCCGTGAGACCGACCACGGAGTGGCGCCCAGCGACGAGCATATCTACCTGGCATCGGGGTTTGAGCCGGGCAAGATTTACAACGCCGTCTACACGGCGGCGCAGCCGGTGGTGGTGGGTTGCGGGATGCTGGCCATCCGCGAGGCGGCTACCTGGATGCGCAACCCATCTGCGACCAACCCCGTCTCCGATGGGTTCGAGAAGGTTTTCGCCCACGGTGTGTCGCAGTCGGGACGGCTGACTGCGCACCATGGTGTACTGCGGGTTGAACGTGGACGAGGACGGACGGCCCGTGTTCGACGGCTTGCTGCCTCACGTGGCCGGCGGCCGGCGCGGCGAGTTCAATCATCGCTTCGCCCAGCCATCCTGCCAGTCGGCCCCCAGCTTCGGCCACCAGTTTCCCTTCGCCGACAACGAGCTGACCGACCCGCTCACCGAGCAAACCGACGGTCTGTTGAGCCGGTTGCGCCGTCTGGATGCGGTACCCAAGATCATCTACACCAACTCCGCTGCCGAGTACTGGCGCGGCGATGGTTGCCTTTCCCACGTTGACAGCACGGGCAACTTCGACCTGGCTCCCGCCGAAGAGACGCGGCATTACCTGTTCGCCGGAGCGCAACATCTCCCCGGCTCGGCTGACCAAATGGCTGGTGTCGGGCCCGACGGATCCGTCGGTCGCCATCCCTACAACGCGGTGGATTACATCCCGCTGCTGCGGGCGGCGCTCATCAACCTGGATCGCTGGGCCACCGACGGCGTTGCGCCGCCGCCCAGCCGGCATCCAAGGCTGGACGATGGCACCGCCGTTCATCCGGACGTATATCTTGGCACCGTGGTAACCACACCCCAACGGGCCGCGCCAGACCCGGCGCGTCTGTGGCGCATCCGCGAGGTTGACCTCGGCCCGGATGCGACCAAGGGCATCGCGGCGCACCCGGTGCGGGAGGGCCGCGAGTATCCGCGCCTGGTGTCCGCCGCCGACGCCGATGGCAACGACGTTGCCGGTATCCGCCTGCCTGACCTGGAAGTGCCCGTGGGTACGCACACCGGCTGGAATCTGCGCCACCCGGACACCGGCGCACCGGAACAGTTGATGTCGATGCAGGGTTCTTCCCACTGGTTTGCCGCCACCGCCGACCAGCGCAAAACCAGCGGCGACCCCAGACCATCGCTGGAAGAACGTTACGAGAACCGGGAAGACTACGCCGAGCGGGTCAAAAAGTCCGCTACCGGCTTGGCCAACACCGGCTACCTGCTTGAAGAGGACATCGAAACGGTGGTGCAATCCTGCCTGGAACGGTACGACTGCGCGGTGAGCGGGGGCCAGTAGCGATCCCGACTTGCCCCGACCCCCCTCTCGTCGAGATAGGGGAGCGCCCAGCGCACCGCTAAACTTGGCGTTGTTTGGGGTCCAGCCGGTCGCGCAGCCAGTCGCCGAGCAGGTTCATGGACAGCACGGTGAGCATGATGGCCAGCCCCGGGAATAAGGAAACCCACCAACCGCTCTCCGATGTAATGAGTTCTCGCCCGTCGGCAACCATCAAACCCCAGGCTGGGGTTGGGCGAGGGATGCCGGCGCCCAGAAAACTCAACGTACTCTCCAGGATGATGACGAAACCAACCTGCAATGTCGCCAGCACGACCAGGCTGTTGAACACGTTGGGGAGAACGTGCTTCAGCATAATTCGGGGATGCGAGGAGCCGGCCACGCGGGAGCGCGCCACAAAATCCTGCACGCGAACCGATAGCGTTTCCCCACGGGACATGCGCGCGTAGTGCGCCCATAGCAGCAAAACCAGCACAATCACGACCGTCCAGAAACTGGCGCCCAGCGCAGCCACCAGTACCAGGGCCAGCAGGATAATCGGTATCGACAGCGAAATATCGACCGTCCGCATTACTATTATGTCGACCCAGCGGCCGAAATAACCGGCGGCCACACCCACGGTCGTGCCGATGACCCCGCCGCAGAGGATGGATACGACAGCCACCATGACCGAAATGCGGGAACCGTAGATGATGCGACTTACCAAATCTCGCCCCAGCTTGTCGGTGCCCAGTGGGTAAGTCCAGTTGCCGGCGGGTTTCGATACCACGGCGATGCGGGTTCCGGGCACGGCCTCGGTGGCGCCATCCAGCAGAGTTGCAGCGCCGTTCCGCACCATACGCGCTGCGTTGGGCACCATGACTTCGGAGATACTGCGGGACGGGTCGACCTGGAGCACTACCGTCTTGACTTCCGCTTCGCCGTCCACCCAGGCCGGCGGGAGCAGGCGAACCCTGAGGTCTCCATCCAGCGGGTCGTGGGGTGCGATCAACTCGGCGAAAATGGCCGGGATGATGAGCATAATCATTACTACCGCAATCGGTAGTATCGGATAACGCCGAACCTCACGCAGGGTACGCCTGACTCGAGATGGGCCAACTGCGGCGGGGGCGTCAACGACCCCTGCCGCAGTTTCATTCGTGGTGATTGGACTGGTTGTTGCCAACGGTCTGCCTGCTCAGTTCGCCGCTAGAAGCAGGGGATCAGCCGAGCGACAGGCCCGAATCAGGTCAAAGTGGCCATAGTTCGCACCGTCCGAACCGGGGAACTCCCAGGTGTCGATGATTTCGGGGTTGGCAACGAACTCGATGAATATGTAGAACAGAGGCAGGTAGCCGTATTCAGTGAAGATGACTTCGCCCATCTGGTTCTGAATTTTAGAACGGTCATCGACCGGCACCGTGTTACCCAACTGCTCGAACAGATTGTCGAGTTCCTGGGTTTCATAAAAGTGAATGGCTCCGCTGGATCGGTTGAACAGACTCAACTGGGCGTAAACCGTCTTGAAGGAAGGTGGGGCGACCCAGAAACCTACGGAGTCGTCTTCCTTTTTAGTCCAGGACGAGTAGTAGTTGCTGAACACCCACTCTTCGTAGCTGACATCAACACCCACAT